TTATTTCAGTGTGGACCAAAGTGGTGGACTGACTGACCAACAAATCAAGATTTCTATCCGCAGAGCCACACCGCTTGGCTCAAAAAAAAAAGCCAGATATTTGCTGTTCCAGGATCTCAAACGTGACACTTTTCTGTTTTTCTCTATTTGATGCCATTATAAGTGAATATCTTTGAGTTTTGGACTGTTGGACAGACAAACAAGCTCTCAAAACTTCTGCAGATTTTTTTCTTACCTTTTTAATTGACTTTGTATATACTGAAAGATTAATTTAAAAAAGAATCAACAGGTAAACTGATCACTGTTAGCTGCATCCCTAAAGCAAAGCCACTGCATCAAGGATGACGACAGTAAGTGGCTGATTTTTGGCCAATGGCAACAGGTTTCACAGCGGTACGCAGCACATGACGTCTACTTGGGCTCATTACCACCAGGAGTCAGTCATTGGTGATGAGTGACATCATTTCACAAAGGTGACATTTCAACTCAGCGTGACTCTCTAACTCTGCATGATCACATGTCACCTGCATGGTTGGCGTCATACTGATGGACACACAAACACACCTACTTTGACAGTGAAATTCTTCAGCAGACATTTATCTGCGTAATGAGCAGCGCATGACAACTTTGCACCAAAGTGTTGTGTTGCTGCAGCGTTCGCAGTCTTCAGGGGAAATTAAGATCAAATTAGAAACGTTAAAGTTCATCACTCTCACCGAGGGGAGTTGCCAGAGTGTTGTTGTTCTGGGGCAGCTTCTGATGAAGTGGAGAAGAGCTCGGTTTCGTTGACGCAGCTCAATATGGAAACACGCAGTGCGGCCCTCTGGGAGATGCCAGGTTCATTAGTATGTAATAAAGTCAACAAGTCAGATTGGGAGGACAAGCAGGTGAAGCCTCACCAGGAGCAAGAACAGGTGTCAGTGTAATGAAGATTACATGGTGTAATAACATCGTGTCCATGCACATTAGAGATTTGAGTCAGTCTCTGTAATCTTAGTCTTTTCAAAATAAAATAAGAAACTTAAGTGATCCCACATAAGGAAGGGGTGTCACGCAGTTGGGTGCAATGACCTCGCTTTTAAGACACAACGTCCCGTACACAGAAAATTAAAAGAAAATAGTCAAAAGGGAAGAGTCTCTACGCCACCACACACTGAGAGTGAGTCATATGTGATGATTGGAGAGGGGTTACTTTCGTATCAGTCTTTATATTGTTGCACCGTGTAACTTTAAGTAAAAGAAGCAATAGCACAGCATAAAAATACTCAATTACAAGTAAAAGTTCTTCCTCTAAAATATTACTTTTAAGAGTACGTAAGTAGTAGCAACAAAATCTATAGTACTAAAAGTAAAAGTACTCATTCTTCAGAACTCAGACTGGCTCCACCCTCTACCCAGGGCTGTTTCAAGACACTAAAAATGCTCGCACTTTAGAGCTCTGTGGAAAACAAATCACTGTAGCATATAAACAAATCTAACCTACAAGTAAAAAGAAATAAATAGTAACTTTCACTGCTTAAAGATACTCAATAGCTCAGCTAATACCTGACATGTCACTGGATACAAACCACCACAGCAGCATATTGAGTGCCAGGTGGCCAGCGCGCACCATTATTGGACAGCGCCTGGACACTCTCCCTCTTCCATTAGGACTTTGAACTTATCCCACAGTAGCGGTACTGTGAGGTACCGTAGTACTATAGTACTCCAACAATGCTAGCGCGGGTGGCAACCAATCATGTGGGACATGGTCTCAATTTGCATGACGCGTGAAAAGAGACAGAAGTGCTGTGCAGTCCCACACAATGCGGGACGTCTGGTCACCCTACTTAGCCACTCGCAAGCAGCAGCTAGTAGGGGGCCCCATTAGGGGGGATTCCAACGTGTTGTCGTTGTTGCAGTGTCTATAGGGGTTCCATCATATTGTCATTGTCATATGGACCAATGTCAGTCATCTCTGGGGCCCCCCTTCCAGCTTGGGGCCCTAGGCAATTGCCCTAGTTTGCCTGTCCGGTTGCGACGGCCCTGCCTCCACCCCACCTGCATCACCTGCACTCCTGACGAGACCACTCCCTCTAGATTATAAAACTCCACCCCTCAAGCCTGTGAATCTCTTTTTCCCTCCAAACATGCCAGGTAGAACAAAGAGAGGACCAATGTAAGTGGACATTTCACTTTTATAATGTTGTACTTTATTAATCATGTATGTATTATTAATAGTTAACAGACTGTTTTGTGTTCACTGTTCTACTTTTAAATTGTTGTTACGAGAAGAAACAAGAGTAATACTGTGGTGGATGCATTGATGATGTAAGTTAAATGATGTCTAATTTACCGTCTAACATTGTGACATTATAACATTGTCTTTTCATATTCCTTGTTATAGAAAAAATCATCCAACAACCACTACTGAACTGTTCAACTACCTTATCTGCAATTAAACGTTGACACAGCTCCCGGGATCCTGCATGTTTGAATGTGCAGCCCATCATCACTTGTTCTGCATAACTTTATATTATTATTTATGCATAAATATGTACACAGTGCTTTGATGTAGTTACAGTTGTTTGAGCTGTGGCTAATTTTAACTGTTTTGTTTGCTGTTTAAAACAATGCATCAGATTTCATAGGATCATGTGTTTTTAAGGATGGATGGATGATGTAAAGGAGGATAAGGTATTTTAAAAAAAGCCACTGAAATGTAGTGGAGTGGAGGTAAAAAGTAGCATAAAATGAAAATACTGGACTACTGCACTAATACTCCACTGCACTAAATACACACTACACTTACTTGTCTTATCTATAAGCATCTGTTTTGCACTCCTTTTTGATATGACAGTGTAATTTTCCAGCATGGGATCACTTATTTTTATCTTATCTAACATCAGAGTCTCACTCCGTCCAAAAATGTGTTCAGGTTATCAGTTCAGCTACAACATGTGCATGCTTTGATAGATGCTGGAGTTTTCTGTGTGTGGAAATAATATGTCATACAGAAATTATGGCCATATTTAAACATGTGTTGCAATGTGTTGCATTGCGCTTTATCTGTTAGGTAAAATTTTCTTTTTAAAAAACATCAAGTCTTTTCCTGCTGCTATTTCTACTGCAGTTAAAGGCAGTTAGCCTTTCACCACCCACTGATCCACCTCCAATACACTGGCGCTGCATGTAAAACTTTGCTAGTCTGCCATTAGAAGTTAGATGAATATCCACACCTAATATATTTATTTAAAGATTTTGACTCCTGTCATTTTGGTTAAATAATCACCATAATCAATGGATCTTTTTAGGCCTTTTTCAAGCAAATATGTCAAACATTCACTCGCTCCAGCTGCCCAAATGTGAGGACTGGCTGGTTTTCTTTGACGTAAATGATAGATCAATAAATAATTGGGGTCTTAAAACAGTTTGAAGACGTCACCTTGGGCTTTAACAGAGAATTTTCCCTTCCTTATTATAGACATTACATCACTGGTTGCAGCCCCACTGTCTTGTAAGAGTCCAGGAACAATGCCAATAAAACAGATTATTGCTCTGAAACCTAAGGGGAAATCATTAAGATTTAAAAGTTCGGTGTGTAGGATTTAGAGGCTTCTATTGGCAGAAATAGTTCATAGCAGTCATAGCTTTGTTTTTATTAGTTTACAAACACCTGAAAATAAGAATAAATGTGTGTTGCATTGTGTTATCGTTATATTGAGCATTCCTCTTCATGTATAATCGTAATTAGATACCGAACCCCAAGATGATGCCTGGTGCATACACCATACAGAGTTTCTAGCTTCCAGGTTTAATTCCAGGTTATGCAGCCCACTGTGTATGCGCAGTAGTGTAGTAGACTTTACATTAAGGGATGTCGTGAATTTTTAAATCACTTTTCTAAGCTCCAGGAAAGTAAAACCTCCATGGATCAAAAATTCATAATATAAAGAGTCATGATTAACCTTATTTGTAGTTGGGGGTGCCTTGTCAACAGTTTCCCTGATGTCTCTTTTATAGTGGTGACCCATGGGTAGGCCTTTTGGGCCACAGGGGATTTTTTTGTTTGCAATGCCACAAGTGACCACTAGAAAAAATTGAAAGCAGGCTGAGCAGCTTTCCTATAGAGGTGGGGTCTAATTTATACACATTGCATAGGCACAAAACAAGGCCTGAAAGAGGGGTACGCCACTTGATCTATAAAAACAGACTGATGGGAGAAACTTTGACCCATGCTTACAAACATTTTGGAGACAGGAAATTGGCGACACAGATGGTGAGGTGGAAGCCTGAGTGTAGAAATTGTGGAATATTTTTTTGGCGCAAACCATTTTTGGCTTTTGTCTGTGCATACATTTTCAGTATGGATCCCACTCATTGTTTTATGAATGAGACCCCTGGTCTACTTCCATGGTGTCAACAATGATGTAGCCCCGAACAGACAAATCAAACACTGGCTCTAAAATGGGTCATTTGCATTTTCATGTCTTTGCATCAGCCACTGTAATTTCCCTACACACTTGAGACACAGGAGAAGTCTCTGTTCTGCAGCCTCACCGGAAGATGCCCCTAAATCGAACACACTGGACCTTTAAGTGCCACTAAAGTCAAAGATGACTGGTGTTTCTGTTAGAATATTAGAAGTTAGAATATTTTGACTATGAGTTGACCTCTGTCAGCCAGGTTAATGATCACATTAAGTCTTAATGTCCCATGGATGTGCTCAGTCATGAGGGTCAGCAGAGGGTCATCACATGAATTAAGCTGCAAATGCTCACAATGCCACAAGCTAGAAGACAAACTGGCAGATACAGCATCATACAAAAAGTTTAAACCCACATTCTTTTCCTTCCTGGGTGCTTGGGCTATAATGTGCTGCTCAAAACTCTTCCTCCTTTTTTAGTTTAGCCCACACTCCTTTCTATTAAAATCCTCTCGCAGTGCACCAAGCTTTACCACTTCTCTCTCAAAGAAACACAAAGCAGCAGCCGCAGCAGCAGCATCACACATGAACCCACCGCTGTGGTCGCTCTGGTTTTGCGCTTCGCTCCTCCTCGTCTGGCTGCAAACCTCCCGAGCCCTGAGGTGCTGTGAGATGATGGCGCAGTCCGGATGAATTGCTTCAGCCTGGAAACACGAGACAACTTAAGTTATCCAGCCTGGAGCAGACACACGCACCACAAGCTGATGCTCTTTGCTTGTTTGTTCGGGGGAGAGATGGAGGAAAAACATGGAAACGGTCTATTAAACAAACATCAACAGACACACCTTTCTGGACAGATAACTTCTTATCTTGCGCGGGGTTTATTTTTCAAGAAATCAGTTTTTATGTGTCCAACTTTGTCAGGAAATCCTCTCAGAAGATATCCAAATTTGAACATCTTTAATTCCCCTGCCAATTAAAGCTCTTTAAGTTGACATTTTGGCCCTAGGATAATGCGTTTTGCAGATGCACACTCAAACCCTGCACATCTGGGGCCCTTTTTCTTGCCCGTGTTGTCCCTGCTGTTTATTTGCCTTTGATTGATACCAGACAGGTGGTGATGGATGTAGGTCACGAGCCTTCATAACCACTAATTAAGCGCCTGCGGCTTAATGAGGACATTGGCTGTCCAAGTGTGTGGCGCGTGCTCCAAAGAGCGAGACAAGGACGGAGGATAATAATGATAATAGCGTCGCAATAAAGATGTCATTAGGCTATAATTGAGTATCTGCTTTCCTAATTAGCAAATTAAAATGCAGCAAACTTCTGTTGCACTTTTAATCACTTCATTAATAAAAGTATTTTGTCCCACAAATGATGAAAGAATAAATACTTACTATAGGCCTGTACCACAGATGAAGATACAAGATGAGGAGTGTGAATTTCTCCTGTGGTCCCGGCAGCGCCTTACAATACACTTCCATTTTCTTATCTGTCTTCCCTCATCGGATGATGATGATGAGGATGATGATGATGATGATGATGATGTGAGTGCAAATCCAGGTTGGTTATTTCTCTGGAGCCTCTTAAAGACCGACTTCTTCCTTGCCTCAGTGTGCAAATATATTCTGTCACCCTTAAAATAGATGAATCCTCATATTCTCCCTGCGAGCTGCAAAGTTGCGGGAGTGAAGAGCTGCTGTCTCACATCTGCTCTCTCTCTCTCTCCCTTTATATATATCTGCCTCCCTCTCCCTCCCTCCCTCTGTCCCTCTCTCTGAATCAGGTGAATGAATATCTCCATTCACAGGGCTGGCAGTGAGGACGCATATTAAAACAAAGAGCAAATGCAACTGAGAGCAAAACAAAAAGCCAATGACCTAATTTCAAGTCACAAAATGTATGCAAATGTGACTGACTGCCAGACTCCTTCTGTATATAAGACCCCCGTATTTGTGCACTCCCTGACAGGCAAACTATCTTAGGCTATATTTAGGAAGGATTATATTGTTTTATTACCAAAGGTACTTGCAGGCCGTCTTTGCTGTGTTACTGCACCACATTTCAAAAAGTGGAAAGCACTGTTGTTAAAAATACTGTATGGTACTTTTTACTGCAGCCCCAAAACATGTTGGGGGCAATTTAGGCAAATCCATCCATCCATTTCATCCGCTTATCCAGGACCGGGTGGCGAGGGCAGCAGGCCAAGCAAAGCCACCCAGACGTCCCTCTCCCCAGCAACGCTTTCCAGCTCCTCCTGGAGGGACCCCAAGGTGTTCCCAAGCCAGATGAGATATGTAATCCCTCCAGAATGTTCTAGGTCTGCACCAGGGCCTCCTGCCAGTGGGACGTGCCTGGAACATCTCTAACAGAAGGCGCAGGAGGCATCCTGATCAGATGCCTGAAACACTTCAACTGACTCCTTCTGATGCGAAGGAGCAGCGGCTTTACTCCGAGCTCCCTCCGGATGTCCGAGCACCTTACCCTGTCTCTAAAGCTGAGCCCAACCACCACACGGAGGACCCAGAGCTCATGACCATATGTGAGGGTTGGGATGTTGATGGACCAGTAAATTCGAAAGCGCCCGCATCACTGCCGAAGCCGCACCAAACTGCCAATCCATCTCACGCTCCATTCTATCTTCACTCATGAACAAGACCCCAAGATACTTGCACTCCCTTGTTTGGGGCAGCAACTCACTCCCAACCCAGAAGGGGCAATCCACCATTTTCCGGCAGAGAACCATGGACTCAGAGCTGGAGGTGCTGACTTTCAGCCTTCACACTCGGCTGCAAACTGCCACCAACAGAATCACATCATCTGCAAAAAGCAGAGATGCAATTCTGAGGTCCAAATATTGTACTATTTACTCCCCTACATTTATCTGCAGCTAGACTTACTAATTAAGATTAAGATATCTTACAATATGAAATATGATTCTGTGCTAGATCTTATCCTGTGCAGACTGCCTGTACAGTATATAAAGTAGGTAAAATGTGCTCCATCTCCACCAGTTATAACATGAAAATGCTACTTTTGTGTTAAAGCAACAACGATTATAAATATATAACTCTTTAGAAGGAGACCATTTTGTCTGATAAATACTTTCCCTTTAATACTTTAAGTTCATTTTGGGTGCAATACTTTTGTACTTAAGTGAATTCTTGCGTGTAAGACTTGTAACACAGTACTTTTTTGCTCATTTCAGAGGCAAATATTGTTCTTTTTTACATTTATCTGCAAACTGCAGTTTTTGCAAATTAAGATTTTACATACAAAACATAAAATCAGTTTAAAAATCTTGAAAATTACACCAACAGTGTCTAAAGCAAATTATTCCACCTTCACAAGCTACCCCATCACAGTGCTTCCTACCAGTGACGGACTGGCCATCTGGCATTTGGGCAAATGCCAGAACGGCCGCATGGTCCTGCGCCGGCCGCCAGGCAAAAAAAAAAAAAAAAAATTAAAATTAAAAAAATAAAATAAATAAATCTTGTTTCTGTTGTAAGTAGTGCTTTTGATAGAGCTATTGAAAGGTGCACTGTGGCTGTGCAGTGCTCTTTTCATGTTTTGGTGAAGCTATTGTAATATGCATTGTGGCTGCTGTAACATTTATGTTTCAGTTGTTATAATTTGGTTGTGCTGTATTCTGTCCAAGAGGGGGCGCCTATTGTTAATGGTGGAAGTAGGCTAAGCCTTTAGGATGAAGTTGTGTGGTGTTTGATTTCAGATTTTCGTGTTTTGGTAGACATAGAGCTAATATTTTTAACTGAGGTTATTAGTCTGGCCTTTGAACGTGTCTGAATTTATGGGAGTTCTGCTGCTGCCTTATTATCTTGTGTGCTGTGCATTGTTGTCTGCTGTACCAGTGCGATTGTAGTGAGTTGATTGCGTGGTGTGTGTTCTGAATTTCTGCATTCTCATCATATGGTTAGCTTTCCACATGCTCCCATGCAAGCCACAAATCAATATTAACATTCATAATGACTGTGTCTGTATATCTCCTCTTCTATTGTGCATCAAGGCAGTGAGTGAGTGTGTGAGTTTCTATGGTAGTTGTGGAACAGTCTGTGTCTCTGTGGCACTCTGAAAAGTTCCGCCAATGGTAGTGTTTTTTATGTTAGTATGTGTAAAATCATCCATCATAGTACCTAGTAATATGTGGGAGGGGGGATATGAGACACCACGCCTGTCCTTTCACAAATAAGGAACTGATGATCTAAAGCGACGTAAAAATGCATATTTTTTTGTAAAATAATATGAAAATTTTTCACCCCTGGCTGGCCGATGCACCGCCATGGGGCCTCTGTGTCAAAAATGCCAGGGCCTCTGTCACTGCTTCCTACCATTTCAGAGGGTACTTTTGTGTTCTTCAGATTGGTGGTGTAAGGAAGTTACGACAGGTCCCAGTGCACAGCATTATGATGATCACTAGTGAATGCTATCGTGCATGTATTGTCTTGACACAAATACAGATGACATTGGACAACATCAGTATTACCCAGCAATCATCATTGTATATCTGATAAAAATATCAAAGCAAGTAAGTAACATATCATTTAATTCAATAGTCTTTATAGCATGTTTATGGATTTTATAGTTTATTTAGAAAAAGCATATAATTTTGTTTTAGATAGCTACTGACTATTTTGCCTTTTTGTGGCCATAAATAGCCAATGGCACCATTTTTGAACCAGAAGCATACTTTTTTTTATCATTCCTCTTTGAATACAGGTATATATTCAAGATGGCAATCTGAATCACTCGCAAGGAAAGAAGAAGAAAAAGTCCTTTATTGTCATTGTACCAGTACAATTGAATTTTTTAAAGCTGCAGCTGTGTACATAGTGCAAGTTAAAAGGTACAAGCAAGTGACAACCCAGAAAAATCTCATAATTACATAACCAATGAATAATAATGAAATGAATAATGATCAATAATAAGAGGCAGATGTTGTTATTGCACTTAATGTATGTAATGTCACCCAGACTTGAAATGAAAGTTAGGATAGTTTATGAGCTTTCTCTATGGGCCCCTCCACCCCAAGGACTCCAGTGCAACTGCACTGCCTGTACTGTCTACGCCCCTGCTTTCGATGCTTTAAATACATTTACTAAATGTACTTAGTATTTTCACACTGTTGTATTGGTACTTTAACTGAAGTACAAAGTGCCTGTTAACAATGATTACCAACCAGGCAAAGCAGGTTACCGCCCTGAGGCCCGAGGACGCAATGGCAGAAAAGCGGACGAGGTGTGTCATGACTTGAAGAACAGTGGTTAAAATCTCCAGGGTGTTGTTACCTTGAACAAAGAATACATTTCCATGTTGCTCCACTGGAGCTGGTTTATAGTTAGTAATTTACAAATGGGGTCACGTAAGGCAGTTTGCAGGTGTAGATGTGGAGCAGGCCAGTGCTAAAAAAGCAAAATCCTCCTCTACAGAATAAGCTCCCAAGAACAAGAACACAGGGTCCAACCTTCAAATACTCCTCTGGAGCTACTGGGTGATTAATGTACACCTGGCAAACAGTAGAAGACTACGTGCCCCTCAGTGTGAAACACGGCGTCCCACTGGCTCAAAAAATAATTGAAAACAAACCTCTGGGTTTAAACAGCAGCATGATGTTATCAAGTTACGGTCATCACTAGCACGAGGTTTCCCATAAAGCTAATCCTAAAAAAACACTGTGAATCTTTCACACACAGGTTATCAAATGGTTTGTGTGATACCATTGACGGCTGTTGGCTAATAGCTTATTTTTCAAATGTATTGGTTGTTTGCATTTAGGCAAGGCTTTGCATCGACTGTTTGATCATTCGTTTAAATTTTGTGGAGCAGAGCAGCCAATCTATCGACAGTAAGGATATTGTATAACATGAAAACAGACCGTTTAATTCCCACTAGAGCTGATTGATCCTATTCAAGCTTGTGTTTTCACAAGAGCTACCAGAACCAATTCTACTGTTAAGATATCAAAACTGAAGCTGGGAAAAGCACATATCAGATCTGATCAGTGATTGACACTACGACTGTAACTAATGATTATAGATTTAGTTGCTGACTAGAACGTAGGTAAGTAGCAAAAAAATGCCAATCACAAGAAAGTGATGTTTTAAAATGTTTTGTTTTGTCCGACCAACAGTCCAAAACTGAAAGATACTCAATTTTACTAGAAGACTTCAAAACCCTGCTTCTTCTTTTTTGTGTCTCTTTGAGATTATTTCACGTCTCTTTGCAGTAATTTGGAAAAGATCCATCAACACAAAATGAATCTACAACTATTTTGATAAGTGACTGGTAGTTTCAATCTTTTTTCAAGCAAAAAAAAAAGGCCAAATATTATCTAATTTCAGACTCTATAATCTGAGGATTTGCATCTTTTCTCTGTTTTATATCAGTGTAAACTGACTATGTTTCAATTTAAGAAGCAAGCTATATTAGGATGTCACCATGGACTGTGGGAAATTGTTATGGACACTTTTCACTATATTCTTTTTTATGCCTCCACACCGCCAAGAGCCATGACTGGAGGCATTATGTTTTTGGGTTCCTACCTACCTGTATAGGTCCGTCCATCCCATTCTCATGAACACAATATCTCAAGAACACCATAAGGGATTTTTTTTTAAATTTGGCACAAA